CATAGTCATTATGGTTGGATGTCCTTGGAAATCATCTCGAAAGGTCTTCAGTGCCCGTATGGATGCTTTTTCTACAAGAGATAGGCTCGACCAAAACATTCTTTTCAACACACACAAAAGTAGCGACATATCCAAAGTGTAAACATCTGCGTTAACTGTCGTAGTAGACGGGAAAAGATGTTGATATTGTTCCCTTAGAATATCTCGAAATAAAGCTCGCCCATTCTGCAGAAGATTGTCTAGCGTACTGCCACTATTTGTCACTTCTCTCGATATCAAGCCTCTTAATACAAACAAACCTCCCTCGCCAAGCAACCATATATGTCTCAAATACCTCTCTTCATCTAACGTTGCCATTCTACAAATATCAAACAGTGACATCTTGAGTTATTAAGATATTGAAGCCTTATATTATTTAGTCAGTGTTTTCTTAAAGTTTTCTTATTAAGTCAGTGTTTTCTTATTAAGTCAGTGTTTTCTTATTAAGTCAGTGTTTTCTTATTAAGTCAGTGTTTTCTTATTAAGTCAGTGTTTTGTGAAATTATTAAGTCTGTGTTTTTTTTTCCTTAAATTATTAAGTCAGTGTTTTCTTATATAATTAAGTCAGTGATTCCTTAAATTATTTAATCAGTGTTTTCTTAATTTTTTAAGTCTGTGTTTTTCTTAAGTTATGTGTTTTCTTTAATTATTACATTGTGAGCTTTGTTATTATATGAATTTTGGCCTATTTTCACTTTAGACAGACTTGGTGAAAACAAACATGACTGACAAACAAAGCTGAATCACCTTAAGCATAATTGCGTAGTGATAGAGTGTTTGCTGTATGAGTGTAGAGACCCAGGTTCGAATCCTGAAAAAGGCATTTTTTTTCTTTATTTTTTTTATAGTTGTTTTTTACAACGAACTGGATTTTAGATCCCCGAGAACATTTAGTTATACACACATTCGCATTCAACAGACAACAGAGTCGTGATTAGGGTAATAGATGAGCAATGGAGGAACATATATACAGTAAATACAAATGAGACAAAATTGTTAGAAATGTGGCGACTGGAATTCAGAGTTTAGACAGAATAAAATTGATAATACTGTTTAATGTGTTCAATGACAGTTAAAAAAATCAAATATATTCGATATTGCTTCGCCGTCAAAAGTTTAGCTTTAGATTGTGCAAAACATCATGAAAGAGATATAGAGGATATTTGTTTGTTTTGCATGTAAGATTGAAATATAATTTCACTGAGTGAACACCAGATGCAATATTTTCACGAGTGGCGTAGCCACGAGTGAAAATATAATAGCTGGTGTTCACGAATGAAATATATTTCAATCTTATATATAAAACAAATAAATTTTCTTTTTATTTTATGCTTTTTAAGGGATTTTAGGTATATTTTTACTGATTTTGCCGCGTAACGTCACGCATTCTCCTATGTGACGTCATCATATCATGACGTCACATCATCAATTTTGAAATATAGTTCTGTTAATTTTCTCTAATTTTGTTACATTTTTACATGATGTATGATGACATCGACTTTCTTTTCCTAAAGAAGCAAAATTTACGCATGACGGCAATTATTTCTGCTTGTTATTTCATTTAGTTATGATTTTCTTTTCATCCGCATTCAGATATAGTCCGGCTACAGTGAAAATTATATTTTATAAATTTCACTAGTGGTTTATCAGAATATAATCATCTGATATATTACAATAAAACACTGGAAAGCATGAAATAAAAAGAAAAGTTACGTGACACACCTAAAAAATATTCTGAAAGTAAAAACCATACTTAAAAAAATGTGGACAATTAGAGATTCGAACTCGAAAAAACATATTCATAACCTGAGATATTTATAATCTGAACTCTTTTACCACTACGCTACTCGGTATCCACGTTTATTATTCTCTATATAGCAATAAAAATGCAAAACGTAATAATTGAATAACTTGAACAACCCATTAAATCCTAATGGTTCGACCAATTAATGTATTTTTTTTAATTGCGTTTATTTAAGGTCGCCGCCGGAAAGCCCATATGGGCGACCGTACACTCAAGTCGGGCCATCCTAGAGTATCCCGCCGAGATCTTTTCGTCGATTTTTTCCAGCTCTATTGGTGGAGAAAGACCCCAGGTGCCCCTCCGGGCATTATTTCAGGCACGAGCGGGCACCTGGGTAGAACCACCGACCTTCCGTAAGCCAGCTGGATGATGGCTTCCTCACATGAAGTTTCGACCCGAGTGAGGATCGAACCTACAGCGATGAGGGACCTGTGATCTCAAGTCAGCGACCTTAACCACTCGACCACGGAGGCCCCCAATTAATGTAAACGTTATCATGTTCTATTTATACATACAATGATACGCATGAATTGATTGAAGGTTGTTATTTGATTCGATTAAAACCATGTTTATATAGTTATCTAGTTACTTTCTCATTTTAAAATCTATTTTCTAGATATTTTTCAAGTTTCCAATGACAATAAAAAAGGTGCAAGTGTAGTTTATTCAGCAGTTATAAGAATAATATAAACAAACGAAATTTATCTGATTATTTATAGTTAAGGAGATAAAGAGGCGCATGCGCGCTAAACGAAAATTGTCCATGTTATGGTCAGACTACTCTATTTAAAAGATTTCATGTAATGTTTATTTTGGCAGTGATTTTGCAAGTCAAATAATATATTATTTCATTTATCTTATTCTTTTTTTATAGTCTCATCAATGTGATACAATTTATACAAAATATCATAAGTAAAAAGCATAATTAAGCATAATTAAAAAAGGCACATTGTCACTCTCTACAAAGTCTACGAATCAAGTAACTTTATCAGGAAAGTGTATCTTGAATTAAGTCCTATTAAGTACTGTTATTTCAACTATCATCGTTGTTTCATGGAGTTTTTTTTTTATTATTTTTTCGTTTAACATATCCTTTTGTGTGAATACGTAATATTGATCAAAAGTAGAGAGATATTTTTCATAATGCTTTACATTGTATGACATTATTTGATGAATACATATGAGTAAACATAGGCTTTAGGGTTGAATTGTTATCACAGAAAATGTTTAGAAAAGATGTTATATTTGAAAAATATTTCAAATTTCAATGTTGAGAAATCCCCATAGAAAAGCATAATAATATTGATAATCTTAAGTTATTTAGATGTAAATGTATATTGTGTTATTTTCGACAGTCAATTTGATGAACTTGAAGGAATAAGAAATAAAATATATTAATAATTGAACCATTATCATAATATCAACAACAATAAAGAGTTTTAAATACAAAAATATTCAGCCCCAAAGCCCCGGATATTCTTATAGTACAGTTTCAGCAGCAAAGTTCTTTGAAATCTATAACTAGATTTTATAAAATTCTATACTTCTTCAAAAATAATTTCATTTGCAAATTCGGAACGACTTTTTATTCCAAAAAAATTCTGTACACATAGAGAATAAAATGTTTTGAGGAACAAGTACATTTTTGTTTATTGCATAATTTTCATTTGATAAAAAAAGTGTTCAGAATTTTCTATAATTATTGTCCATAGGTGCATGTCCAGGCCATTTCTTCTAAAATATAAAAGCTATTGACATGTAACTTCATAGGATTGTAGATCTCATTAAGAAAAAGTGCAGTGCTCAAGAACTGGTACTCTGCATTTCTTATTTTTTTTGAGTTATTGCCCTTTGTTTATTTTCATATTTCATTTTTGTCCTGGCCATTTCTCCTAAACTATATTGTTCACAAGGCGACACATCCGACTCGCGTTGTTCTAGTTTTAATGTAGATTGTACACTTTGATTAATGTAATGGTAATCAAAACTTTTAACTGTGGATTATATATTATGATGTTTGTAAAATGTTTGTGAAAACATACTGATTAGTCTCCTATTATTCTTTATAAAAATGACCATTGACCATTTTCAGTTTTATTAAATGTGTATTTGTATTAAATATTTTGTATTATATATACAAGAATTGGATGAGACTTCAATAAACTATAAACTACAAAACTACTTTTGTATGAAAGTGTTGGAAAATTTATGTTTAATGGTGTCAATATCAAAACTACATCAATGGTGTTGATATCAAAACTACATCAACGGTGTTAATATCAAAACTACATCAATGGTGTATATATGAATGTTTAATGGTGTTAATATCAAAACTATATCAATGGTGTTAATATCAAAACTACATCAATGGTGTTGATATCAAAACTACATCAATGGTGTTAATATCAAAACTACATCAATGATGTATATATTAATGTTATATGGTGTCAATATCAAAACAACATGTATGGTGTCAATATCAAAACTACATCAATGGTGTATTTTTTAATGTTTAATGGTGTTAATATCAAAACTACATCAATGGTGTTAATATCAAAACTATATCAATGGTGTTAATATCAAAACTACATCAATGGTGTTGATATCAAAACTACATCAATGGTGTTAATATCAAAACTACATCAATGGTGTTAATATCAAAACTACATCAATGGTGTCAATATCAAAACTACATCAATGGTGTCAATATCAAAACTACATCAATGGTGTCAATATCAAAACTACATCAATGGTGTCAATATCAAAACTACATCAATGGTGTTAATATCAAAACTACATCAACGGTGTTAATATCAAAACTACATCAATGGTGTATATATGAATGTTTAATGGTGTTAATATCAAAACTATATCAATGGTGTTAATATCAAAACTACATCAATGGTGTTGATATCAAAACTACATCAATGGTGTTAATATCAAAACTACATCAATGGTGTTAATATCAAAACTACATCAATGGTATTAATATTAAAACTACATCAATGGTGTTAATATCAAAACTACATCAATGGTGTTAATATAAAAACTACATCAATGGTGTTAATATCAAAACTACATTAATGGTGTTAATATCAAAACTACATCAATGGTGTTAATATCCCAACTACATCAATGGTGTGTATAGTCAAACTGTATTTAAAGAATTGGACAATAAATGTTCAATATTCAAAGTCTTCACTGTTGTCTGAAAGCTCTAAATACTTAAAATTTGAGTTTTTTTTACAAAGATCACTTGGGAACTAATACTGAAAAATATGCAACAATGTACGAGGGTTGTTCGGGAAGTTCTGAGAATTGTTTTATAGCACAAGTTGTAGTCGGGTTTGCGTAAATATAAATATATACGCATTTATTTCAATATATACTGTACAATATCTGAAAATATCATCATCATACACACAGAAACTAAAACATAATAAAAATAGTAAATAACCATATAACAAACACCCAGAGCACGCCGACGTCATTTGCAACGTTATGCGACGTTAAAGTCCATCGATCGTCGCACCTTTTCAACGTAGTCACCTGCAATTTCGATGCATTTCCTGTGTCGGCTGATCCACTTATTGTATGTTTCCACGTACCAGCTATCGGTAAAGGACGAGACTATAGCTTGCGTATGCTTAACAAGATCGTCAGCTGAGTCAAAGCGTTTTCCACGCAGCTGTGATTTGAGCTCCGGGAACACACGGAAGTCCATCGGAGCGAGGTCCGGGCTGTATGGAGGGTGCTCTAAGATCTCAAACCCCAAGAGGCTGATCTCTAACTGGGTAGATTCCGCTCTGTGGGCCGGCGCATTGTCTTGATAAAGTGATGCGGTCATGGTCCATGTGGGGGCGCTTCTTCCGTATCGCGTTAACGAGATCCCGCCTCAGAACCTGTAAAAAACGCATGCGGTTAAAAATTTGATTTGCGCTTATCTTACTCAAACGTTTATATTTTAAATGTTTAATTTTTATAAATATTATGTTTATAATATTATATGTTTATCAATAAATATGTTTTAAAATATATTATAATTAGAAATGTATACTTTTAGTTACCTTTGAATAGTAAGCCGCCGTGACAGTTTGACCATCCGGAACTCTGTGTTGCAGTATCATCCCGTGCCGGTCCATGAAGAAAATAAACATGTGTTTTCCCGCACTTTTCTGCACCCGGGCTTTCTTTGGGGGAGGTGTACGCGGGGATTTCCATACCGATGACATAGCCTTAGTCTCTGGATCAAAGTGGTGGAGCCAAGTTTCGTCATTTGTTATTATGCTGTCTAAGAACTCATCCCCTTCGGCGTCATAGCGTGATAGAAATGCCTTAGAGCATCGCACCCGACAATCCTTTTCATTGTCCTTTAGCAACCGTGGTACCCAACGTGCACTCACTTTAGACATACCGAGCTCTTTTGTAAGTATTCCGTGTACAGTAGAAACTGATACGCAAAGTTCATCAGCAATAGCTCAAACTGTCGTTCTTCTGTCGCAGTTTGTCATGTCTTTTACCGAGTCCTTAATTGAACATGCAACAACAGACTACCGACCGCATCTAGGATCGTCTTCGATCGAGTTTCTTCCTTCTTTAAAACGAGCATGCCATCTATACACTGTAGCCGGACTGCATTTCTTGTATTTTCCTGTAGAATTGATCATTTTCATTGTTTCTGTGGAAGACTTTTCCAGCGCAACACAAAATTTCACGATGCTTCGCAATTCAACGTCACCTATCGACGTCATGTTGTTTACTCAGTGGCTCTGGGCAACAACTTTAAAACAATGTTGATCCGTAGAGAATTTAAATAACGTTATGATATTTTCAGGAAATGACGTCATGACGTTCCGCTGCTGACCAGTGTTTTCGCGCATTTTTTACGTTATCAAATTTACGAAATATTATTTGTGTAGTGCGTTATACCTTTCTTTAATCGTCGGATTTCTCCGGTGCGGCGTTATAGTGTTGCTATGGTTACTGCTATTTCCGGCTATTGTTGTCTGATTCTATTAATTTTTATTTGTTTGGGTCGTCAGACCAAACAAATAATGGTAGCAAAATTTCAGAGTCTAATGCTGTTAATTGCAAATGCCGAAAGTAGTCCACTTTTTTGAAGCGGTTACTTCCCTTTATATGTACACTAACTCCGAAAATCACTGCGTAAAGATGGTCAAAGACAGGCACACTCATTTTCAAGCAAAATAATTCCCGAATGGTCGAAGATTTCTAATATTGTTTTATTGTATTTTCTGATCAAAAATAAGTAAAGACAAAGCGGACATTCAATCTCTGACACAGAAGTTTACGACGAACCTAACAACAAGTAGTTCTCAAAACAGCTTAAAACTAGCGATTTAAAAGAAAGAAATATTTTTATTTTGTTACAAGTATCCAACAAATTACAACGCATTCAAAGTTTAAAAATAGCGTTGGCTTATTGAATTGTCAATAAATGCACAATCACAAATTACGCGGATGAATATGATTTTATCAATGAAAATACTATTTTTAGCGATGTCGATTACCGAATACTACACAGACCGAGTAGTGGAATATATAGATTCTACATGTCGGTATGTTTGGGCGAGATGATTTTCGCTAAATTAACTATTTTAATTTTAAACAACAGGCTTATCCTGAACAAAATACCTCGAAATTAATAAGGATTACACACCCAAAATGCAATGGAAGTTCTAAATTTAGAATGACTTGATGTTATTCAATTGGTGTTTATGTAACTTCTCCGTGGTGCAGTGGTAACGCGCTTGCTTAGTGAGTGAGAGGTCTGGAGTTCAAGGAAAAGTTCGAGGAAACTTTTTTTTAAATTCTTTTTTAAGTGTCTTTGTTAAGGAAGTAGCCATGATATGCAAGGATAAAGTGTAGCTGTCGTAAAAATGAACATAAATGATATTTTGATGCAACTCTAGTTATGCAGAATTCCGTATGTATCAAACTCTGGTGCCTTGCAAAATGAATTATAATACATAAAAATAAACTTATACAGGAAGATACATACATATTTACAGTACGATTTAGATTGCAAAGATCAGAAAATACCACAGAACTTGCAGCCCTTTGATTCTTTATAAATATACATGATTACAGTAAGCTCCGGGATTATTTACATCTGTGTTAAACAACAGTTAAAGTCGTTACAAGCCCTAATTAAGAATAATATGGTTTTCTTCAGGCCGTTCACATATAAATTCACCGTGGCTGAAGGGTTTTCTCGCTCGCATAGGAAGCGAGAGGTCTAGAGTTCAAATACCAGTAAAGGCAACTCATTTTTTTCAAATTGTTTAAGTCAAATAAACATTGGATTGAATATCAGTGTTGCAATTAGTCTTATAGACAATTTACTACAATGAAAACGCTGGAAAGCATTGGTGGAACTATACATATAATCTCACAACCTGTACCTTTCTTTCATTTTGAGACCCAAACAAATTCAGCGCCTTCTGTGCTTTGATTTTGGAATAGTTCCGTGATATGCTAATCTTAGTATGTGCAAAATATTACGTCTTAAAAACAAAATATATAGGAGATATGACAAAATTCCCAGAACTTCCCGAACAACCCTCGTATATATATCAACAGAACTAATAAATTAAGTGCAATTCTTGGCCCAATTGAAAGAACAGTTTAAACGTTCTTCAGTGTTAAGTTATTTTCCTCAATAAAACTTCTGTTTTTTAAAATACACTGGGCGAATGATCTGAAATTTTGCACACAAGTGATTGGCTCAGACGCACATTAAATGGTGAACAAACTTCGAAAATACATTTTCGTCAACCTAAGTAAAAAAAAAGAAAAAGAAAAAAATCCTTTATGTGTGCGATGAATAATTCTTTAACGGCGGTTTATAGAACGTCTTCATTACATAAGTGAGAAGTGAGTGAAGGCACAGACAAACTTGCTATTAACTCTGTCAAGTTTTCAACATGTTTAAGGAAGTAACGGTAGTTACGACGGCAATGTTAGCTCTCCACATTTTTTTTTGTCCGCACGCGGCAACACATGTATGATTTATTCTCTATCTACAAGCTGTGTGTAAGCGTGCGTGAGTTCAATTTAGCTAGATCTATTTATATAAAAATCTAAAATGGATATCTTCTGGATATTTATTTCTTGCATAATGGGTAAGTCTAGCCGAATTATAAAAAAAAAAGTTTTAATTTTTTTGTTATTATTCAGAGCAAGCAATGATTTAGTCCAATTAATTGTACTGCGCAACGAGATATTGTGCTATGTTCGTGTCTGGGCAATATCTCGCCTCTACGTTCAAGCGAGATTCTGTCCTAGAACGAAAATATCTCAGAATCATGCTTTGGCACGTCAATATATTTTGACTAGCAATGAATATAAATTAGTATTGTTGTTGTTGTTGCTGTTAATAAGTTTGTATTTTGTTTTTTGTTTTTGGCTCACCTGTCACAAAGTGACAGGGTGAGCTTCTGTGATCGCTTTTCGTCCGGCGTCCCTCTGTCCGTCGTCCGTCCGTAAACTTTTGCTTCAAATGACATCTCCTCATAAACCACTAAGCCAATTTCATCCAAACTTCACAGGAATGTTCTTTTGGTCGTCACCTTTAAAAATTGTTCAAAGAATTTAATTCCATGCAGTTTCTGGTTGCCATGGCAACCGAAAGAAAAAACTTTAAATATCTTCTTTTAAAGAACCCAAAGAGCTAGAGCTTAGATATTTGGCATGAAACATCTTCTAATGAGTGTCTACCAAGTTTGTTTAAATAAAAGCCCTTGGGTCAAATTTGGCCCCGCCCCATTGGGTCATTGATTTTTCCCTAAATGCATATAGTAAAAACTTAAAAAATATTCTTTAAAAGAACCCAAAGAGCTAGAGCTTTAGCATGAAACATCTTCTTATGGGTGTCTATCAAGTTTGTTCAAATAAAAGCCCTTGGGTTAAAATTAACTCTCTGCCCGTGGGGGGGGAGGTCATTGTTTTTCCTTATAAGTGTATAGCAAAAACTTAACATCATGAAACATCTTGTAATCGGTGTCTTAATTCCAAGTTTGTTCAAATAAAAGCCCTGGGGTTTATACTGGCGACCTCAGGGCCATCATGGCCCTCTTGTTTCAAATTTCTAAATATGTGATTGTTAAGAGTGAGATTTAAGAAAGAAAGAAACAAAGAAAGAAAGAAAGAAAGAATACGACAACTTTTACACAAAATTTATATAAACTTGTCTTTAAAGTCTATTGTTATATTATATCTGGTTTGTGTTTTTATTTTCTTCTTTTTCTTTCTTTTTTTCTTTTTTTTTCTTTTTTTCCCGACTTTTGTTTAGCGTTTTTGGTTCAGAATAGTTTAAATTTGTATTTACATTGGCATTATTAATATAATATGCCGCCATTATTCACTGTACAAAAATTAAAATAAAAAAGTAAAGAACTTTACAATATGGTAACGCCTGATTTTCTATCTCGTAGTCAAGGAAATAAGAATGTGTATGATTTGTAGTTTGACCTAAAATAAAAATGTTTTTCAAAAATTCAGTTCTTTTTTCTTTTTTGGTGTGAACAGACAAAAGGGATTATTGATGGTGCATGTAAAGCAAATAATTTTAGGTTGTACATGATTATAAACAATAGAAATTAAACCGACAGATTCCATAAACTTCTACGAATTTATGTTTAAGCTAGTGTTTATTATTAATTTAAGTCTCAAAAACAAGTGTTTGAAATTATTTTCATAAAACAGTCGAGTTACTGGACTGATTAAATTTAGCTAATTTACCATTTAGTAAATGTTTATGATTCATATGAAATACTGAAATTCTATTGGATAAAAACGATTTCAAACACTAATTTTCCTTAACATTTTTTATTGTGTGGTTGTCACATACTTAAAAAAAAAGACGGAAAAGTTTATAATTGCTGTTGAAGTGCTCTCCCATGAGAGATTTCCTTAAAAGCACTTTATATGAGTGCAAAATACACGTACATGTATTTTCTGATTTATGTAGAAATATTTTCTAATTATTTTGTAATTATAAAAAATTACAGTGTTTTAAGTACCACTATTAAGTAGAACGTATTCGTGAGGTTCTAAAAATAGACATCATTTAGTTCTTTGTACCAAGTGTGGACCATCTTGTTAAGGCCAAGTATCATAAGTTGATTTTCGACTGGTTAGGTCTTGTTATTTAGCATTAATGACATTAAATCTTTCGTTGTGGCGCCGCCTATAAAAAAATTGCAATATTTTAACAGACAAATGTATCAATGCACATTTGCTTATTAGTACCTTTATTGCGACACAAAAATAATTTTAATTTGATTCGCGCATCATCTGTCTTGGTTTTTGAGAATTATTTAACTCGGATTGTTTTCGTAATGGTTAATATCTGACACTTTTCACATTTCATATTTTGCAAACGTTTAAGGGTATAAAGCTACATCTTATGAAATATATAGAAATATTTTTTTTATTAAATTAATCAACATTTAAATTATATTGCTTCCATAATCTAATAAGTCGTTATGATCTCATTGGACAAACTATAATTTCAATTATTAAGAAAATTTAGTGTTTGAAATATTTTTTGTCCAATAGGATTGCAGTATTTCAAATGAATCACATGTTACACATTAGATTTTATCCGTTCATCTCACACTATCTATCAGACAGATAGATTTAACCCGTTCTGTACACACAATGTAGCTATCAAAACGTACGATTTTACTTGATCAGTTCACATAAGCAATCGGATTGACAGATTGTACACTGGCCCTGAAACTGGCATATTCTATTCGTTTCAAACACACTGGCCCTCAAACTGACATATTTTACACGTTCCGTACACACTGGCCCTCAAACTGGCATATTTTATCCGTTCCGTACACACTAGCCCTCAAACTGACATATTTTACACGTTCCGTACACATTTGCTCTCAGATAGACAAACCATTATATAAGTTAAATCGACATAGAACAAACGGGGATGTAGTGCTTTTTTTATATTATAACAACCGTTTTAAAATATTTTATTTACAAATAATTTAAAATACTTTACAGAAACGTGTTTGAACTTTTTTGCCCTCCTTAGACGTCACATATTTCGCGCAGTTTTGAGGTAAGACGTCAATCTTCACAGGCTGGTTGAAACAATAACAACAGCAATAATAATAATAATAATAATAATAATAATAATAATAATAATAACAATAATAACAATTATAATATTAATAATAATAATTATAATAATAATATTAATAAAGACTTTATTTAAACTCATTTGAACAAACATCAATCTTCCATGAGGCCCTCAACAAGGAACAATATAAATTTAAGATTTTCAAACTATTAAAATACATAAATGTAAAAACATACAGGAGATTATCAATTTGTATAACGAGTGGCCCAATACGACTTCTATATACACAGACTGCTTTATAAACGGCTTTTGTGGGCACGGCTACTATATACAAGGCTACTTTACGGTTACTATACACACGGTTACTTTACACACGGCTGCTATGTACACAGCTCCTATGTACACGGCTACTTTACACACGGCTGCTATGTACACAGTTTTTATACACTGCTGCTATGTACACGGCTGCTATGTACACGGCTGAGGTCATCAGACTTCAGATTTAAGAATATGCCGTAAAAATAATACATTTTTTTGTTTTATATTTTTCCATTTATTTCAGTCCTTGGCCTTTCAAAGAAAACAGACGCTGGATGTGCACAAGATCTCCAAAGTGCTCAACAGTTTCAAATTTGTGTGATGGGATATGGCATGTTTATCATTAATGCAGTTGAAAAGATGGACCCTAATGACCCGAACGCCATGATGAACTTAATGTGCAGGTAACAAACTAACATTTATCGTTATATCTTATATGAACTGTATGTAATAGAAAGAGCATCGAAACCACCGTGCATATCCAGTAACGCAGGATCGTGTAAATAACGTAAAAGTAATGCCGAATCTGTGCAGCGCTATTGTCAAAACGAATAACACAGTAGGTAAACGAACCAAAATGTTTCAGTCTTAATTAGATTAACATAAATGAATACGGCTGCTATGACATTATACTTTAACAAGCATTACATTTGTTTTCACTTTTGTGTTTTGTCAAATAAATATGTACATTTAACACATTTAAATCTTTATTTTTCATGTTCTGTATACCTAAGACATCTGTCAAACTTCAAGTGCCGTATATCAATAAAAGGAAGCTAGTAAATTAAGATTTAGCTACTTTTAATGACACCATTAAACCGCCGTTGATTCAGTGCTTCATTCGCGAATTTGGCGTAACCTCGTAAAAATGGTATCTGCTATATTAGGTGTAATATGACACGAATAGATTGGAAAAGTCTCAGATATACCGAATATTAAAAAATCATAAAGTAATATGAACGTTATTTTTCGCTATTGTAAGATTATCAAATTTTGGTGTAAACTTGTTAATTCTGAAAATCTTATTCTTAACAAATTGTACAATTTAGCAGTGCAAGATAGTTTATATGAATTTGATATGTCGAGTAAAAAAGATTCTAGATGATTTTGGAATTTCTGATATATTTGTAAATAGTTAAAATTGTTTATCTTTAAAACATTGTATTTAAAACTAGAATGATTGATTGTTTTAAACAAGAATGGTTTGGAGCAGTTAGCAGAAATGGTATCCTGGATGAATACACACATTTTAAAAGATATTTTACATATGAAAAATATTTAGACATAGTACACTATAATTTAAGGTTTTTCATCACCAGGTTACGTATTTCTACTCACTCTCTTCGCATTCATACCTGAAGATTTGGGGAAAACAGAATACCTAGACATGAACCATTTTGTTAAAACTGTAACTTACATGACATAGAAGATATTTACAACATTGTATGTATATGACCTTGTTATCAAAATATTAGGGTAAAGTATGTCAATGATAATATCTGTAAAAGACCATCTGCATTCAAGTTTTATGAATTGTTATATAGCAAGGACAAGAAAGAACTATGTAATTTAGCAATGTTCCTAAAAGAAGATTTAAAACATAGAAATAATATAAATAAGGTAGAAAAACAATGTTACATACAAATTGTATTTTATGGAGTCCGTTACACTATGTTTATCAACTATAATAAGTTGTATTGTAATATACTTTCACTCTCCTGTTATATGTAGATCAGTTTATATGAAAATGCTTCGGAACGCTTTAATCATGTGCAGAATATTTAGTTGTTAAATATGTGTTGAAGATTATGTACTAATTACAAGTCTGAATAAAGATATGTTCTGTTATTACATTTAAAGATATAATGAAACTAAAAGTCGCCATCAATACGCGAGTCAGGTCATCATATTCACAAATGTTTTTGAAAAAATAAACAATTTCATGGAAATATTTTTGATGAGGTTAAAAGTATAATGCCTAAGCAACCGTATGCGCTATTTCATTTCTTCCATTCTGGTGTTTAATAAAAATATTAGTCAATTTACTTTTCGTGGTGCTTGTTTTAGGAACTTAATTGCACAATTCCTGCGTTATTTGCACATTCCTGCGTTACTTGATATACACGATGGAAACGCGAAGATATCTGACAAATTAGATTGTCCGAGTGTTTTGATGTTCTTTTTCTTTTGAATCATAGGCATAAATAAAAACACGTCCTGTCGTCACAATATTAAAACCATGAAAAGTAACCATTGTACGAGCATCTGAATATGACTTTTCTGTCGTTATCTCTTTCCTTGTCTTCACAATAAGCAAATCCCAGAAAAAATGTCAACAAACGAGCATGTTCTTTTCTATCCCCGACAGACAGCGCGGCTACGCCCCCTCGTACTTAGCGTCTTGTTTTGATGTTCTTTCTGTTACTTAGACAATCTTTAACAATCCTTTTCTTTAATCATGTATGAACATTCATGTATATTACATGTTAAAATGGGGAGGGGATATTCCAAATTTATACAAGGTAATGATTATTACTTTAAAAGACAATTTGTATTTTATAGCACTGAAGGGAAGCAGAAAATTGCATGTGTATTAACGGCCGTTGACACATGTCCGGACCTGATGAAAACCGGAAATTATGCAACCATGCTTCAAAGTCTACAAACAGTGAAACAAATGGGTGGTGTCGAAGGAATGTGCAGCATTATACAAGGTGGGGTAATTATTAAATATGTTTAATATGTAAGAAATTATAAAATAGCCTGTTAAGAAATTTATATACATGTATTAATTTAAAGCATTATATCATGTAACATAGAGCTATATTGTGTTATGCCATGAAAGATATAATGTTGGAAATGATTTATGTCCGAGAGAAATATTGTCAACTCAACACTTTTATTCTACGTTAGATTCCAAGAATTTGATTCATGAAAATAAAAGAGTAAGAGATCAATACACAAGAAGGATGTAATCGGCCTGCAAAGTGAATAACGCTCTCGAGGACCGATTATCGCCTTCTGGCCCATCTATATGACGTGTATTAATGTCTTAATACACTTGATAGATCTAAAATATATATACAATATAGAAGGCGACACATTCATCGTTCCCATACAATATATAAGGCGACACATTCATCGTTCCCATACAATATAGAAGGCGACACATTCATCGTTCCCATACAATATAGAAGGCGACACATTCATCGTTCCCATACAATATATAAGGCGACACATTCATCGTTCCCATACAATATAGAAGGCGACACATTCATCGTTCCCATGCTAAGGTTTAATGATTCATTAAAAAAAAAACAAAAAAAAAAAAAAACGACGTAATATTTAATAATGTATTCAAAAACTTTTTTGAGTAGTTAACTAAGTAATGCAATACTTTTACTCATATGACATTTGTAAATTTCATGAACAAGACTCGAGAATGATTCAAACCTAGTTTTTGTTTAATCACAACCGAATGAAAATAAATAATTATGTTTTACTAACTTATCATTTTAGTCTATATAAACTTTATCTGAGTCAATAACTGAGGTTACTTCAAACTTAATTAATGATATTTATATATATATTATCTCAAGGTTGCTCAAAGAACTGTTACTTATTTTAACTTGCCGAATTAAGTTAAAGACAAAAACTTACAAGAAAATAAAAGATACAAAATATCTATGCTATACGCTAAAACCATACCAGCCTCTACACGTGGCAATTAACGAAGCGTTGTACATTTAACTTTAATGACTCAGCGTCGCAAGAGCGTTCAACTAAATGTTCAGTTAGATCATACTTTCATAACACTTAAACTTAAAGACTTTCATCAGAAAACCACTTCGAGCTTATTTTATAGCGTCCTTGGATGAACGTACAAATAATGTCATATTTAATTGATGCGTCATCTGAGTCAGTGTCCGCGGCGACATCTGCAGGCATATGCAATTATTATATAGTGCTGTTATACTCTTGGTGTTTTCCCTCTTTTCTCCATTCTAGATATGCATATTTAATTACTATTCCCCAATCCTGGAGAGCAAAACAAAATCTACAGTATAATATTCCGACTAAGTTGTAATACCTTAACATAATTTGCTCAACATCTGAGGTGTTAAATAAGTCATAGGTTTTAGTAACAGTATAGTTTAACATTATGGTGGTTACAGTTTTAGTATGGTGGCTGATTTGTGCCATGTGGCGCCGCTGTAAAAAAAACGAAAATTGGACAAAGTAGCGATTTTGTCGTACTTGCGCTTCGCGAGGCGGAAGGCGAAGTCTCAAAGATATGACAAAGTGATTACTTTTCGTGTTTTCACCTAGCGCCCCATCGGAGAGAAAATATACCAACGAAGTGACTTTGTCATAGTATGGTGGCATTTTCGCAAACGGCGCGTTGTCGCACTATCGTCTTGTCGTTCTGTCGCTAGCGAAGCACGCCTAGCAACGCGTTGTCGTGTTGCGCGCTGTCGCGATGTCGCCCTGCCGCATGGCTTATATATATGAAAATAGCAAATCCTTCGATTTGAGCCTAGAGATAATGTGACATCGCGACAACACGCGTGCTGTCGCTAGCCACATCACAAAATGTTCCAAATCAGGCACCATATGTTTTCGCCTTGCGCCCCGCGGAGCAAAAATACGACATGGCACAAATCAGCCGATAAACCATACTGGTGGCAGATTTGTGCCATGTCGTATTTTCGTCCGAAAAAAACATCACAAGAAAAACAACACAAAAACACCACCAACAACAACAAAAACAACAACAACAACCAAAAAATAAAACAAATACAAACAAACAAAACACGAAAATACGACAAAGTTACTCATAATTTCTTATTTACGTCTAATTAGTTTTCAGCTTGATCGAGATTTGTTTACGTTGTTTTCGAGTGCGTTTGTAACCACGAAATAGCATCACTTTAATGAGCTTTTTAAATACTTTCTTCCTTAACATCTGACGCGTGTATATCAGATGAGAAATCTCGAAAAGATTTATAAATACGTTCACCTGTAACAAGTATGTATTAATGGTCAGGTTGTATTTCTTTATTTGCTATAACTATGCTCGTACAAACAGCTGAGCGGGAATAAAGTTTAAATTTAAATTAAGTACATGATAATTTAATAGATTAGTATTTCTTTATAATAGGGGCTATTTGATATCTATGATAATCAACCACGATAATGTTGTTATATAAGGAACATGATGGAGCACGAACATACGGCCACAGTTTTGACAGGCAAATACAAGCTTAAGTGTTACAGACAAAAATATTGACTGTAATAAGACGAAGTGAGCTATACATCTGTTACTTCACTCCTTGAAGGGCGTTTCCAAGCACTCCATTCGAGGCAAGTCTAACAAAGCTTGTCCGTAACAGAATCACATCTATAAACAGTCAACTGTCTGACTATACTGACCTTAGAAATATATCTATAAACAGTCAACTGTCTGACTATACTGGCCTAAGAAATACATCTATAAACAGTCAACTGTCTTACTATACTGACCTTAGAAATACATCTATAAACAGTCAACTGTCTGACTATACTGACCTTAGAAATACATCTATAAACAGTCAACTGTCTGACTATACTGACCTTAGAAATACATCTATAAACAGTCAACTGTCTGACTATACTGACCTTAGAAATACATCTATAAACAGTCAAAACTGTCTGACTATACTGACCTTAGAAATACACATCTA